GCAACATGTAAAAAGACAGTATAAGTCATTATAATTCATAATTATGTCCCCACTGGATGCAATGAATGCCTCGTTTATAATGGGTTTTCATGTTTTTGAATCATCGCTCCGGCCTGACAGGGCATCATCACAATATGGTGAGGGGCGTAACATTTCCGTCTCACGCTTGAGGTATTCGGCCAATCATAACGCACTGGATAGCTGGCCAATCAGAGCACACCTCGCTTTTCAGACCGATGAGCTTTGTAAAAATCGACTAGTTTCAGAAAGGCGGGGCATAGAGGAGAAACATTAATGTACAGTATGTGGAAAATAATGTGTTTTTTTAACCTTAAACTGCATAAACACATTTCATTACACCAAATAATGTTCTTTTTAGCGACATCATATGACCCCTTTAAGATGAACTAACAATGAAAAAAATGCTTCTAAAGCATTTAGTAATTTGTTAATTTCAGCATTTCCCAATACATTAAAATAAAAAAAAATGTTGTCTGTTAGTTTTAATGAAACTAAGATAACTTGATCTTAACAATGAACAGTTGTGTTTTTATTAACTAGCATTATAGATTAATAAATATTGTAACAAATGTCAGTGTATCCCCTAGGTTTTCATTTTTATTTTTTTTCTGGACTCCTTTTTAATGGTTAAATTAAATTGTATTAATCAAAAAGCATGTCTAATTAATTAAAATCATGAAACAAACAATTTAACATCAATTTATTAAAAGTTGAACAAAAATTACATATTTAGGGCCCTATGAAATGTTTTCTTTTTTCCAACCTTGTTTTATTGTTACCAAATTCTGATTTAGCATGTCTAATTATTTGAAAGCATAAAAACAAGTTTCATTTATTCTTACAATAGCCTTATGATTTTTTGCTCAGAAATTCTGTGAATTTACATTTTTTAAGGCATAAAATGTTCATTTATCTTTTAAGTAATGAAAATTCAACAAATTTTATTTTTTGGAAAATAAAGGTAATTTAATATTACAATTACAACATTGAAGAAATATTGTATGATTAGTCCTTAAAAATAAGGTTTTAATAATTTTAGTAGTAGTAGCAGCAGCCTATTACGTACATTCTACTGAACAATAGTAATATATTTCTGCCGCAATGCCTTCAAGTTAAACCGAACTTTTATTTTGACTGGTTGCCATGAATACCTTTACATTTCTGTGTGTATATGATATGAGGAAAGTTTCTCAAATGAAATGGTCAAATGCTCATGAAGTGACTCTCAGAGCAGTTCTGGAGATGTTGTTCATGTATTTATGTCCTCGTTAGCGGGACGGCAGACTAAATCAACTTGCAGCTAAAATCACTGCAGCCGTCACGCGCGCTTCAGTACGAGTGGTAAACAAAACTGCACGTCTGCGCCATTCATTAACACAGAGACACGCAGAATTCATATTTAAATAGTCTTTTGCGGCTTAATATTTACAAATACTAGTGGAAGTGGGAATAAAATTAACTTGACCTTCAAGGGGGGCGAGGGGGTGCCGTTGGGGGGGGCGGGACGGCCCCCTAATATAATGGCAGGGGAAACACTGAATGTATTGCTAATTGTTAGTTAATGCATGGACTAATATTAAAATAAGAATTGTAGCACTTTACAATTAGCAGTTAAGTTTTTCAACCTTTCAAAATCATTTACAGATCATTCTTGCAACCACATTTACAAAAAATAAATCTTTAATTTATTATAAAATACTCTAGATCAGGGTTTCTTCAGGATTTTTAAACTCATATTTAAGACTTTAAGACCTTTAAATTTAATACCATATGAGAGGGGTATGGCAATGCCTATAGTTAGGGCTGGACCAGAATATTAGATTATTTGAATATTCATTCGGTGGGTTGGCATTCGATTTTCAATTTTGAGATTCTAATTTTTTATATATATTTTTTCGAACACCTGGCATCCCCCACGAAACGGTTCCCATTCGCTCTTGAATATGAATCGCCCATGAGTGAACGTCATGAACATCATGATTAATCTGTAAAAGTTCTGCAAGTAGTAGCCTATAGTATATTGTTGGTGTAAAAAACAAGCTGCTTTTATCCGCCATGTTAATCAGTAATTTTACACATGATAAAAACGTGCACTTAATTTGCTTGGAAAATACTTGCGAATACGGTAGTCATAAAAAAAAAAACGTACAGTAGCCCAGCCTAATACTAATTTGTCTATATTAAAAGTATTGCTCTTAACAGACCTGTGTGTTTTGTATCACTAGTGCAGTGTCCGTTCTCGGAGCATATAAGCCCTGCCCGCGTGAGGCGCACCGCTTCTGGCTCGTGCCGTTCTGTATTTTATTAAAAGTTTATTAATTCCGAACATGTCGCGTGTCCATATTGCACCAAAATGCGACACTGCACTCCCTTGGGTCCGCAGCAACACACCCGCCACGCGTGAAGTCGATTGGATGAACGGTTCTCGACTAGGCTTGCCGCGATAGACGGTGCTGAAGGTGATACCGTTGTTAAGCCACAACACCGATTACGTCACTTGACCCACACCGTCGTTTTGATTTTTTTATAGTAGGCCTAATAAAAATCATTTAGTTCAGTAAAAGAACAGACACTACAATTAAAAACTGAACGCGGCTGCTCAACGCAGCGTGTCGAACGACAGTCGCATCACAGATCAAATTTAATTTATCCAGTGAGGAGAGTGAGTCGAGCTGACTGACAAGAAGAGTGGGGTGAGACAGACAAGGCGATGGCGGATGATTTAGTTTCGAAACGAAATGCAAAAGCGACTGTTCGGCAGTATTTTGGATTTTGAAAAGCCTGTTGACTTTTGCCGTTAATCTAAGGTGATTTTGGAAGTTTTTTTTAAACATTCATTTCTTATTTAATTGGTTCCACAGTGTTTGCTGATTTTTACTTTATTTAAACTTTGTGTAATTTATTTATTTGACATCAAGGTGTATCTCTCCCTCCCAAGCTTCGAAGCTCAAAAAATGGTATTCGGACCAGCCCTACCTATAGTACCATAATAAACTGTAAAATTACTGTAAAAAGCATAGTTTACAGTTCGGATACAAGTTTTCAAAAAAAAAAAAAAAAAAGTTTTACAAATGATAAAATTTCAAATAAAATGATAAAATTTACATTTCAGCCTTTAAACCATTTATAAGAAAATGGATGAGTAAAAAGTATTAATTATTAATTTAAAAAATATATGAATAAATTATATAAATTAAATAAATTAGGGGTGTGCAATATTGACAAAATTATATTTTCTGGATATTTTCTAGAATTTTATCGATAACGATAATTAGACGATATTTCACCGAGTGTGTTATTGTGCTGGTATTTTAAGGACTACCGTGGACAGCTGACTCCTGAATTTTTGATATTCTTCATATTCTGTGTGGTCAGTTCACAGCAGTGATATAAATTAATCTTTTCCAACAAGTTTTATGAGCATTTTTACCATTAAGTCATTTTTTCTAAAAGTGTGCATCATCTTTTGAGTCAAATTCTTGCATTTGGGCTGTTACCAAGCAAATGAAATCAGTATCAACAGAATTCATCTTTGCGATGCAGAGAAAACACAGAAGCTGCATCTGAAGTGGCATTTAGATGCATTTACACACCGTTTAATGCAGCTCAGAGGGACATAGAATATTTTAACCTGCAGTTACAAATGCATAAATAATGTTTTGATATTTTAAACATAAAACATTAAAAACTGATTTTTGAAATTATTAAAAAAAAAATATTATGCTATTTTAAAGATCATTATTTTGTGTGTTTGGTGTAACAGAATAGAATCATTTATAAATCTGCATGCTGTTGTCAACAAAAAGCAGCACCGAGATCTTCCTGTGGATTTCTGCCAAAATAAAAGCCGAGAAAAAGCAACAACTCCCCCAACATTCATTAATGATAGTATTGTAATTTTACTGTTGTTCTGTAAAATAAAATAAAGACAATAATAATGATAATAATAATTACACTACAACAGCTCTATTAGTGTTTCATTTTGTTCGGCTTCGACCAAGAATTTTCATTTCGGTGCATCCCTATTTAAGACCACACGGAAACCCTGCTAGATTTTGATAGAATATAAAATATCCCCCACAGCACAAATGACCAATATTATGTCAGCATATATAAATTATTTAAAACATGGCAAACTAGACATACACAGAATTGCTGATTATAAAACTTGTTTTATACAATATTTACTTGATTCACAAATCACTATTTTTAAGTGATTTCTTTGACAATCCTGTTGGTACATTTTGAAAGTGACAAGCGAGGTTTTGTTTTGAATGAGGTTTTACTATTGCATAATCTCAAAATGGCTAAATGTGTCCTGGTTATTATACCATCACTAACACAGACCAACGTGAGCAGTAATTTATCATGTGTGGTATTAAAGCAGTACATTTTCACTAAATTGTAATGTTAGAGGAGCAAAAGTGTCTAGTCAGTCTAGGCATAGTCTGTAAAAAATAAAATCTCTTGTAATCAAACTGAAAGCCTCCATAAAGGGAAAAACTTGCGAGATTTGTACATATGAACTAAACCACAAACCTTAATGTCAAATCTGACCTCAGTAATGAAGTCAACAGCACCTGGCACAAAGTCAACATGATAGGCCTAATTTTAAAACAGCCTCGCAGATGCGCAACCATTTACAGATTTCATGTAGCTACATTAACAGGACGACTTCGCTGATGTTGTGTTTGTAAAACAGGTGCAGTGGCACTTTGGCCAAACAGCTGTGGAATCTGGATAAAATTAGAGACCATATAAATGCACTTTAGTTAGCTTAACATAACCGAAAGTCCATAGTTCACGAAACTCACTTACCGAACACAGCAAACCAATGTATCTCAGTGTAACCAATATAACCGTGTTGTTATTTGGTTAACACTGTTCAATTTTAATCTTCTTGATTCCGCACAACGTGAAACTCGCTGTAACGCAGTTAATGCTAATGTTTAGCTAACTTACGCAGCTGCCACTGGCAGCTTCATATCAGTGAACTTCAACAGTTTTTTCTGATTTTTTCCAAAAAAATTAGGAAATACATCTATAACAATGCCATTTTAATATGTTGCTTTTGTTGTCAGTAGAATTTCATATTTGAACTGTGAGATAAAAAAATAAAACATTAGCACTGTGCTTGAGCTCCTTAGCTTTTGCGTCCACACACAGGCCGCACGCGAATTAACAGTCACAGATTCATCATTAACGGTCTTAACTACTAAACACCGATTGTTTATAAACGATAATACATTGGATAGAAAAGATTTAGCTCTTACTAAAGCAATTCCCCGAATGCTGTAACCGAGCCGAATATACAAGAGACACCACAGACAAATATGTTAACACTCGGCTATAAAGAAGCCACAAAACCGATCTAAAATCTCACCATGTACAGCATAAATTTAACTTTCGGTGTACTTACCAAATATGGCTGAGGATCTCTTTCTGTGTGTTTGTGTTTGCGAATTATAGGTGTAGAGTTGTGACATATATTTAAGGGGTGTAAAGCGAGTGTGTAAGATGGCTTCCAGTCATCTTTAAACCCTCCCATAATCAGTCACATGAGAGCCCCATCTAATCTACAAAAACACCAGGCGTATTAAAATTATTTAGTAAAAGCATTTTTACTGCTGCTTTCATGTTAACTACAGGCAAAATATTTTATATATCTTGTTTTTAAAACAATCTATATTGCACATATGCATTGCAGTTTTATTTTTTGCGTCCTTTGTAGGCGAATGAGATCATATACTTCTCCTTTAAAAATATGACATATATTCATAATTACATGGCAGCACAGTTTCATTCTTACCTGAGCTTGTTTTTCCTTGGCTCTTGGTAGAAACTTGAAATGTGAGTCATTTAATTAGTCAACATGTTTGTGCTAGGCTAATTGGAGGTAGGCTAATTTGATTTAAAGCTGTCTGACATTAATTTGGATGCCTAAAAACATACTTTTTATTGTTATTATTATTACTTATTTCATACGTGTTGAAGAGGTTTGGTGTGCACAAAGTAGGAATCTGTTGATAGGGACACCTGTGGGGTTCAGAGATAGTTAATTAATTGCCTTAAAGAGCTGAATTACTCTTCCTTACCAATTAGACTGATGTATATTCACAAAATGAACTGAATTTGGGTTTTAACTTCACACTACAAGCTGTTGGAAAATGGATAGATGAATTTTATAGTCCCATTATAGTTAAAGCTACAAAGTTCATTATAGTGGTAACAAGAGAGAGTAGCTATACAAACAAGCAATGTGCATGTTATCAATAAGTGATTTATTTCCCCTAGATATTAAACTGGAGCCACTCCAACAAGTTTCACATACTCATTATGTGTTCATGGTTGTAGCAATCATTTTCACAACTAGGTTTTACATTTTCTGAGGAGAAAATAAAAAAATAAAAAAGTGAGCAGTGCTCATCCGTGAAAAACTCGCAAGAGTGTTGTAGTTACTTGAGGTTTATGCTGAAGTGAACATCTAAGGTACATCTAACACCCGAATATGAGTAATAGTGAAAGTGATGCCTGCCTTAGCAAAACGCACTAACTATAACACTGGAGTGTAGCCTACTTATCAGATGTTATGTAGAGTCCAGATTTATAATATTTATAATTAATCATAATTTGACTTGGGAACCATAAAACATACACATCCCAAAGTTTTGAACAAACATGGATGGTTGACTTTCAAATGTCATGGCTATGTTTTAAAAAATGCATTTTCATTGGTTACATTTGCACTATACCACTCAAAAGTTTATTATTATTATTTAAACATCTGGATAATGATAAAGTAATTAAATAAATATTGGAATTATGTAGTGGCCAAAGTGCAATGATTTTTCCTTCATCTGCGCTTACTTTTTAATTTCAATAAGAAATAGAAATAGAACAATTGTAACAAATTTTAGCTTTGTAAAAGAATTCATATCACAATTTCTGTTTGTTTACTTTTATATAGCTATTCATAGGCTATTTGTCCGCAAAATGTCTATGTATGCAGCGTATTTGCCAGAACCAAAGTTACTTATTTAACAAAGTGGAGATTCTAAATAGGTTTCTGTAACCAAGTCGGACTGCTGAGAAAACAGTTAGGTGCTAAGGTTTGGTCAGCCAAGTGGTAAAAACAAAACCGCTGCAGCTTCCAACAATGATCAACTCGATAAAGATCAAAATGTGAGAGTTTAGTGCAAGTGTTAAAACTATGCCAATTAGTACTGTATATATGAATCTGAATTGCAGGATAGCGGGGGATGTGTTTGTTCTGTGAAGGAAATGTGTGGGTTTCTTTCATTGTTTTTTTGTAAAGAATTCAAATAAGGTGAGTGCGAGTCCTTGAGGAGGTATATTTTAAAAAGGCGTGTCTTGAAACTGAGCGTAAATCATGGGTTGGTTGTTCAGAGGGGGTTTATCACTGAAACACTGCATTCCTTCAAACCCGGAGTGAAGGACGCACACTTCTGAGACAATAATGGCCACTCACATCAAAACAAACATGGAGCAAATAACAGAGAAAGTAGTTTATGATGTGAGTATTTCCGAACTCTCAACTCCTTTTATTATTTTTTTTAATGGTTAGATTTTTAATTTATGGTTAGATGTTTCCTGTGGACTGGTAGTCATCGACGATTTAATCTGCATCCTGTAATAAATAAATAAATAGAAAAACATACAAAATAAAATTAATTGTACAATTTGAGAACAACAACAAAAAGAATGCCCAATTAAATATCTTTAGAGTGTTTCTTGTGAACAGTTGTATTTGTCTTAAATCACAGTTTGCTATATTATTATTATTATAATTATTAATAATTAATTTCATTTTAAATACTGAAAAAAAATCAGGAAGTGAGATTTCCTTTAAATCACTTCCTGTAAATAGTACAAGTGGCTATACAACTGTTTGCTGTATGCAACTTAATTGTTTCCATTTAAAAAAAAATTGCAAATGATTAAGCAAGGATGCAAATTGTGAACAAAAAATAATAGTAATAATCAGATTGATTTATATTGGAGGGCATCTGATGTAAATATTGCGGTGTCTAGAAAAACAAAATCCTCTGTTGTTGATCTAGCTGAAATGTGTATTTTCAGGTTTTTCCGGATGACCTTTTAAATGACTATGAAAATATAACGGAAGGACCTTTTGATGGAGTACTGTACATCTGCAACAATGAAAATAACCCACTGCATCTGTTTCACTCCGTGTTTCAACCTCTTGTATATGGTGTGGTCTTTTTCCTGGGCCTGACAGGAAATGGCCTCCTCCTGACCGTTCTGCTAAAACGGCGGAGGAACCTGCGCATCACAGAGATCTATCTGCTACATCTGGCACTGGCTGACCTGCTCCTCCTCTTCACTTTACCATTTGCAGTTACTCAAGGGGTAGCTGGGTGGCCTTTTGGAAACTTTCTGTGCAAGCTATTGGGCCTTGTTAATCGCTTAAATCTGGTGTGTGGGAGTCTGCTTTTGGCATGCATCAGCTTCGATCGCTACCTCGCCATTGTGCACGCCATCCCCAGTCTCCAGACCCGTCGACCTAAGACCGTTCACCTCACCTGTGCATTGCTCTGGCTCCTATGTCTATTTGTGACCATTCCCAATATGGTGTTCCTGTCTGTGAACAAAGAGAACAACTCTATCAGGTTATCTTGTTCTTACAACAACCATGGCATCCATGCAAGCAACTGGAAGTTGACCAGCCACTTCATCACACACCTGCTGTGCTTCTTTCTGCCTCTGTTGATCATGGGGTACTGCTACACTTCTGTAATCATCACTCTTTGCCAAAGCCAGAGAAGTCTGGAGAAACAGGGAGCAATTCGACTGGCCCTACTGGTTACACTGGTTTTCTGCCTGTGCTGGCTACCATATAACATCACCATTTTTATGCATACCCTGGTGATATTGGGTGCTGAGCAGAGCTGCCATTCTCGCATCACACTGGAACAGGCGATAATAGTGACAGAGAGCATTGGCTTTTCCCACTGTTGTCTGAATCCAATCTTGTATGCCTTCATTGGGGTCCGTTTTCGAAGAGACCTCCTGCAGTTGCTCGCAAAGATGAAGTGTCTGCGTGTATGCCTGTCAGGTCTGCGCACTAAAAATTTGAACAGGGTATCTGTCTCAGAGGCTGTTACTACCACAACAAGTAGCCAATATATCTAATAGCAGCTGAGCATTTTTTGTACATATTTTTTTCTTTCTTTAAATCACCAACTATCTGTGATTTTCAGCTTTGCCTGCACACTGAGCCAATCACTGCACATGACTAAATGCACATAATGTGAGCGCTTGAAATAATATAAATTTGAACAATCTGTTAGTCAAAGTTTGAATTTCATTAATAAGCAAATCTAAGCACCATACCTAAAATGCTGTAATGCTTTGCATTGTGTTTTGAATGGATTCTGTTAAATACAAGATAACAAATGGCTCTGTAACAAATATTTTGAAATAAAAAGTGATATAATCGTATTAATCAGATTTTTTTTTGTTAATGTGATCATCAGCCAAAATGTCCCCTCACACACATCAAACAAGGTCAACACAAAGTGAACAGATTTTTTTTTCATATTTGTTATTAGATTTCTAATAAAACACAGTATACAGAACAGTTGTATCTTAAAAAATGGCTTCAGATTTTGTTACTTAACTGTAATGATAACCCACAATAGTTTTCTTTTCACCCAAAGTTAACTTCAGCATCAAGAAATTATTACTAAAACCAACGTTTTTAGCATTTGATTGCCACAGTTAGTCAGTGGCAATAAAAACATGTCCAAATGAGAAATAGCCATTAAGCAACAAAGTTTTTACAGTTTTACAGAGAAGCCAGATTAAAAGGGCATGTTGGCCATACTTCCAGGCCCGTAGCCCAATGGGCTGTCCAGTGACATGCTCCGTTGTCTAAGACTCTGGGGGCCCATCATGCCCGACTGTGAATGTGGAGGTCCCATCATAGGCCCCTGAGGGGACATAAGGGCGCCCTGCTGGCCAAAGTGCTCCCCAGGGAGAGTCATTCCCCGCTGCTTAGCCTGCATCATCATTAGATTCTGCTGGGCCATAAGATTATGAGGGTGCTGCTGTGGAGACAGCATGCCACGAGGAGGGTGGGATGGGTGTTGTAAGAGGTTATTGGCCATCATGGCCTGCTGCTGCTGATGGTGATGTTGTTGCTGGAGCTGTTGTTGTGGAGACATGCCTGTCCTGCCCATCATGTGCCCTGGGTGGCATATGGGCCCCATCCCACCTCCTGATCCCATGCCCCTGGAGCCGATCTGAGGCATGCCCATACCTGGACGCATCCCACAATGTGAATGTGAAGGGTGTAGGGGCAGCTGTTGCTCAGCCATCATGTTCTGTAGGTTAGCGATATGGGGGTTGGAGGAGGGGACGTTGCTATGGGGAGGTCCAGATGAGGAGAGCTGTTTGAGAAGTTGAGCAGAAGAAGCTTGTGGAGGCAGCTGGCCCTGGTGAGGATTTTGCTGTGGCTGGGACATGGCTTCACTT